GGTGAGGGGGGAAAGGGGGGGCATCCCTGCCAGTCACCTGGGGGCGCCCACGCCTGCAGGTGCCAACTGCAGGGGCTCAAACAGGGATCCGTGGTTCCTACCCTGACAACTCAGGGTAGGAGCTCCTACTCAGCCATTCATCCTACAAATCCCACCGGGTGGGCCAAGCCCCCCAACTCCCGCAGGTGCTGTCACTGAGCCACACACCCCGCCCCCCCCCCACCCCCTCGCCCCACCCCCCGACCCAGGAAATGCCAGCATACATAGGGGAATTTGCACTGAAACACTGAACTTCCCAGAGAGATGAATGCCAGGGTGCAGAGACAGCTCAAGGGGATGGGAAGGCAGGAAGACTAGTGTGGAGGCATGGGTGGGAATCAGAAACAGAACAGGCACGAAGAGGGGACAGGCCCCTTTCCCCCCACACCTCCTGTAATCCCCACAATTAGTTAGGAGGTGTGAAGGCGGAGGTCAGGGATTTGTGGCCCGCCCAGACCCTGTGAGACTTTGAATGCAGTGTGCTGGAATGGGGTGGGAAACCTGTGGATCTGGGGGGCGGGGGGAGGCTGACAGACATAAAGCTCTCCCAATTTCCCCCTGCCCCGCAGGTGCATCACCCGATCCTTCTACCGGAACCTGGTGGGCGTTCTGTTGGTCTTTGATGTGACCAACAGGGAGTCCTTTGAACACATCCAGGCTTGGCACCAGGAGGTCGTATCCTCTCAGGGCCCTGACAAGGTGATCTTCCTACTGATTGGTCACAAGTGCGACCTGAGCACCAGATGTGTCTCCACCCAGGAGGCAGAGGAGCTGGCTGCCTCGCTGGGCATGGCCTTCATGGAGACCTCGGCCAAAAGTAACTGCAATGTGGACCTGGCCTTTGACACTGTCACCAGTGCCATCGAACAGGCCCTACAGCAGGGGGACATCAAGCTGGAAGAGAACTGGGCAGGTGTCCGGCTCCTCCACAGAGCCCCCTGTCCCAGATCCCCCAGCAGCAGAAAGCAGGACTCAGGCCCATGCCAGTGTTGACTCTGGGAGAGAATGGGTTCAAGTGGTGCCAGCCTCGGGTGCCCCAGTGACACTGGAGGGCAAATGACAAAAAGACAACTATCTCCTGACACGCTCCTGCCTTCTAATTCTTGGCATTCTTTTCTTTGTCGGGATTGAACAGGGTTTGGCTAGCTGCAAACACACTCAGCACTTTTATAATTTATAGTTTTAGAATGGATCTTGCTAACTTGCCCAGGTTGGCTTCGAACCTCAGCCTCTTGAGTGATAGAGATTACAGAAATGTTTCCACTAGGCCAGGATCTCTCCTGGGTTTTTAGTTCTGAGCACAATGCCTTTCTAGAGAAAAAGAAATCTAAGTATACAACTGAATGTCATTTAGCCTAAGTTTCCTTTTCCCTGGGTGTGATGTGGCAGTACACAAACGCTTGTAATCCCCAAACTTGGGAGGCAGAGGCAGGATCAGGAATTCAAGAACATTCCCAGTTTCGGAGGGTTCAAGGCCAGCCTGGGTTCCATGAGATTATTGCAAAAAGTAAGAATAAAAACGTTTTACAATTTCTTTTTTAATTCCACTGCACAGGGAGATTGAGACTTCGTAAGGGACGGGCTTGCTCTCTCCCAGTCTGCCTCACTGACAGCTGGTATCATTCATGCTTCTGGGTTCCTTTCCTGGCTTCAACATGGTCACTTCTGGCCGAATTCCTGGACTGGAAGACAGCTTCCCAGCATCTGTCCACTGCTTGGCTGCTGAGGTAGTGAGGGGGAATTCCAGCACAAGCTTGGCTTAGTGCTTCCCCAGCCCTTAGAATAGCAGGAGTCTGGCCTTAGCATGTGTCACGTCTCATGGTTCCAACCCCAAGCTCAGTGACTAGAGTTGAATTCTGGGGTTGGCCATGAATGAGCTTGTAGACTTATCGGACACAAGGTAGACAACATGGAGTGTCACCAGGGTCTTGGATGACTGACTCTGGCTTACTGCACTACCTGGAACCTGCTCACCCTTAGGGCCACCCACACCCAACATCTTGCCTAGGAGGATGGTGTTAAAGAACTTGTGTTCTTCAAGGCATAGAAGCCCAAACTTTTAACCTCAGTACTGAGGAGGCAAAGGTAGGTGGATCTCTGAGTTTGAGGTCAGCCTGATTTACACAGTAAGTTCCAGGCCAGCTTGAACTGAGCTACACAGTGAGATACTATCAAACCAAAGCAAAACAAACAATAACAACCACAAAAAAGGTGGCAGGGCAGGGCTGGAGAGAAGGCTCAATTCAGAGCATTTGTTATCATTGTAGAGTAATAGTTCAATTCTCAGCAACTACATGGTGGGTCACAACCATCCATCACTCCAGTTCCAGGGATTCTGATATCCTTGTCTAGCCTCCAAGGACATAGATATGAATGTGGTACACATACACACTTGCTGGCAAGACATTCATACAGGGGGCTGGAGAGATTGCCCAGGGTTGAAAGCACTGGTTGCTCTTCCAGTTGACCAGGTTCAATTCCCAGCACCCACATGGCAGCTCACAACTGTCTAACTCCAGTCCTAGGCCTGCCTCTGCCTCCCAATTGCTGGGGCTAAACACATGCACCACTACTGCCTGGAAAAAAATTATTTTTTTTTAAAAAAGGAGTGAGCTACACTTCATGTTAAAAAAATACACATAAAAGTAAATAAACCTAGCCGGGCGATGGTAGTGCATGCCTTTAATCCCAGCACTTGGGAGGCAGAGGCAGGCGGATCTCTGGGAGTACAAGGCCAGCCTGGTCTCCAGAGCGAGTGCCAGGATAGGCTCCAAAGCAATACAGAGAAACCCTGTCTCAAAAAACTAACTAACTAAATAAATAAATAAATAAATAAACCTAAGTTAAAACAAAAGAAAACAAAAACCAGCAGGGCAGTGGTGGCACATGCCTTTAGTCCCAGCACTCAGGAGGCAGAGGCAGAACTCTGTGAGTTCGAGACCAGTTTGGTCTACAAGAGCTAGTTCCAGGACAGCCTCCAAAGCCACAGAGAAACCCTGTCTCACAAAACCAAAAAAAAAAAAAAAAAAAGCAAAAACAAACAAAAACCTTGCTTTATAATACTAGGCACTGTAGCACATGTCTTTATATATACATACCAAATCACACAGGCAGAGACAGAAGGGGCAAAAGTTCAAAGTCATCCTCAATTACATATTGAGTTTGAAAGTTTGAGGCCTAATTGTGCATGGTAGCAAATGCCTTTAATCCCAGCACTTGGGAGGCAGAAGCAGGAGGATCTCTGTGAGTTCGAGGCCAGCCTGGTATACAATTGAGTTCCAGAACAGCCAGAGCTACACAGAGAAGCCCTGTCTCAAAAACAAGAAAAATAGAGACTCAGACTTGCAAGGGGACCCGTAGGCCAGAATGGCCAAGGGCGATTGTGGAGGATTCCTAGCAGAGCTGGCTCTGATGCTGAGTGCCGGTCAGAGTTGCAGAGGCATCTCCATGGATGTAATTGTGCCAGCAGGCACGAGCAGGGTATGAGCACTTGGGGCCAGCAACAACCCCCACTTTTGTTTTGTTTTCTTTGTGTTTGTCTGTTTTGGGCTTACTTTTTTCTGTTTTCTTTTGGTTTTGGCTTGTTTTAGGCAAGATTTATGGCCGGCCTGGAAAGCGCTATGTAAACCAGGTTAGTCCCTAACTCTCTATGGTTTTCTTTCAGCTGCCTCTGGACTGCAGGAATTAAAGTGACACTCACTGTGTAGCCCAGGCGGCCTTAGCTTGTGCCACCTTGACCAAGTGACCTGCCATTCTTTTCAGAATGTATCAGAATGGAAGCTTATCAGCCTCCAGCTTCCACCAGTCCCAAGGCTGAAAATGCTGTAAGATAATGTCTGAGTCTGGGCTGGTGCCTCTGATGCCAGCAAAAGAATCACTGCCAATGTGAGACCACAGTTCCCAGCCAGACAGGGTTACCTAGCACAATTCTCTCTCTCTCTCTCTCTCTCTCTCTCTCTCTCTCTCTCTCCAGCTGCCGAATGGGAATACCAAGTTTTGGCCTTCAGGGCTGTTGTGAGACTGACATGGTGTGACCTCTTCTCACAGGTGGCCTCACACCTATGGACCTTCTGTGGCTGAGGGACTTATCTGTAATATCACAGTAACCTCTCCAAGTCTAGGAGTCCTGACTACTTTATAGACGGACTCTATCTGCCATGACCAGTCAGGGAAACTGACATGGTTGAATTGGAGAACCCAGGCCCATCCCACATTCCTGCAGCCAGCCCCCGGGTGTGTTCTGCCTCATCCACCAAGGCTCTGCCCAGCCCTGGAACTGCACAGATGTGAGGAAATCCGAGACTCCGTGGCTCCAGTGGGTGCGAGCCTGTGTGATGAAGATGCAGCCCGCAACATGCAGCCTCCCCTCCCTCTACCATGTGGGCTGTGTCCCCTCTGGAGGGCTTCAGGTCTTCCCTGTGATCCTGCACCCACCTCAAAAGAGTCTTTTGCTTTTGCTTCCAGGGTCCTTGTGCATGTGCTCTTCCCCAAGACCTAGAGGGTGTGGTCTTATTCTCGTTCCCTTCCTTCCACCATCTTCCCATGTCTCTCCCTTCTTGTCCTTATTGTCTTCCTCCTGCTCCTTCTTGGACAGGATTTTATGTATCTGAGGCTGGTTTCAAACTTAAAAGTCCTGGTAGAGGTGACCTTTAACTCCCAATGCTTCCACCACAGGCTCCCAACTGCTGGGATCACAGGCATGCACCAACCTACCTAGTCAAACCCAGGGCCCGGTGCATGCTGGGCAAGCACTCTAGCAACTGAGCTACAATTCCAGGTGTTTGTTTTTTGAGACAGGAGCTCACTAAGTAGGCCTGGAACAGAACTCACGGCAGTTCTCCTGCCTTTGTCTCCTCAGTGCTGAAATTACAGACACATGCCACTGTACATAGCTATTGAGGCCTTGTCTTTCCTAACTCCACTAAAACCTTAATTTTAGTTTTCCCCTCCTTTTCCTGGTCCACCCCATACAGATATGGGGAGCCTCTTCATGATGGCTTCCTAGTCCTAGGTGGTCCTTCCGTCTTCAGCACTTACGCTGTTGTTACAGTCAGCCACACACACACACACACACACACACACACACACACACACACTGCTTTTAGTGAATTTCTCCTCAGAAGACTCCTTCAAGGTTTCTCCTTTATATTTATTCCAAACAACTACTGGCAACATCCCAACTAGCCCTTTTCTGTCTGTTTCCAACTCCAGCACACACCCCAGAACCCTAGGCAATGCGTGACAGGCATGCCAGCCTTTGCCTAAAACTTCACTGGCCTCTGTCTGGGCAGTGGATCACAGACTTCTGCTTCACATGTCAATCTTTGTTTTGTTTTGTCCTTTTTGGTTTTTTGAGACAGGGTCTCTCTATATTCCACTGGATAGCCTGGAACTTACTATGTAGACCAGGCTGATCTACTGGCCTCTGCCTCCTAGGCATGTGCCACTACTCCTAACCAATATGCCAGTCTTTTAAAATATTATTATTTAGGACAGGGTTTCTTTATGTAACAGCCCTGGCTGTCCTGGAACTCACTATGCAGACTGTCTGGCCTCTAACTCACCGAGAACTGACTATCTCTACCCTACCTCTCCAGTTTTTGTTTTGTTTTGTTTTGTTTTCCCCACACAGGGTTTCTCTATGTAGCTTTGGAGCCTATCCTGGCACTCACTCTGGAGACCAGGCTGGCCTCCAACTCAGAGATCCGCCTGCCTCTGCCTCCCTCTTTCCTCCCGAGTGCTGGGATTAAAGGTGTGCGTCACCAAAGCCCGGCCATACCCAGCTTTTTGTTTATTTATTTTGAGACAGGGTCTCATTGAGCTTACTATGTAGACCAGGCTGTTGTTTTTTTGTTTTTGTTTTTTCAAGACAGGGTTTCTCTGTGTAGCTCTGGATGTCCTGGAACTCACTCTATAGACCAGTCTGGCCTCAAACTCACAAAGATCTGCTTGCCTCTGTCTCCCACGTGCCACCATGGCCAGCATACAGGCTCTTCTTCAGCTCACAGAGATCCGCCTGCCTCTGCCTCCTGAGCACTGGGATTAAGTGGGTTCACACTATGCCCCTTCATTTATTTCTGTGTATGTGTGAATGTCTGCTTGTATGTCTGTGTACCGTGTACATGCAGTGCCAAGGAGGCCAGAAGAGGGCATCAGACTGGAGTTACAGAGGTGTGAGCTGTCATGTGTGGGAGCTGGGAAGCAAACCAGGATCCTCTGGCCATCTTTCCGGTCCCTGTATACCTTTCTTTCCTTCTTTCTTTCTTTCTTTCTTTCTTTCTTTCTTTCTTTCTTTCTTCCGGTCCCTGTATACCAATCTTTCCTTCCTTCCTTCCTTCCTTCCTTCCTTTCTTTCTTTCTTTCTTTCTTTTTCTAGACAGGGTTTCTCTGTATTGCTTTGGAACCTGTCCTGGCACTCACTCTGTAGACCAGGCTGGACTGGAATTCAGAGATTCACCTGCCTCTGCCTCCCCAGCACTGGGATTAAAGGTGTGTGCCACTAACGCCTGGCTGCGTTTCTTTTTTTTAAGGATGTATTTATTATGTATACAGTGTTTTGCCTGCATGCCAGAAGGGGTACCAGATCTCATTAGAGATGGTTGTAAGTCACCATGCGGTTGCTGAGAATTGAACTCAGGACCTCTGGAAAAGCAGCCAGTGCTCTGAGCCATGTCTCCAGCCCACCTACATACCAACCTTGAATATCAGAATCTCTCTTGAGTTTATTTTTGGGGGCTGTGTGTGTTTATGTATGGGGGCTGGGAGGGGGGTCAAAGTTTTATCCAGCACCACAATCAAAAAAGATTACATCTATAATCTTAGCTGCTCAGTAGGCTGAAGCAGGAAGCTCTGAGTTTGATTTCTATCACTGCAAATAAACAAATAAATAATAAATTAAAATAAAGCAACAAAAATCTAGTAAGAAATCTCAAACAAAATGTCCTAGACCAAATTGCTCATCTTGGTTCATCTGCAAATAACTTGCCATTAGCAGCTCTGAACAAGCAGCCGGCCCCACAGAAGTTTTCTGTAATGGCGATTCTTCATCAAATATTTTTGGTAAGATATTTCAAATACCTTTTAAAATATATTTATTTAGGCTAAGCATCTTGATGCATGCCTTTAATCCCAGCACTTGGGAGGCAGAGCCTGGTCTCCATAGTTAGTTCCAGGACAGCCAGGGCTGCATAGCAAATCCAAAATTATTTATCTAGGGCCGAAGAAACAACATGTTTTCCCAGAGGACTCAAATTGAATTCCCAGCACCCATACAGTACCTCACAGACATCTCTAACTCTAGTTCCAGGGGATCTGAGGTCCTCTTCTGTCTTCCATGGACACTGCATGCCCATGGTGCACAAACATTCAGGCAAAGATCCATATGAATACAGTTTCGTTTTGTTTTGAAGTTTCTTTTTTTTTTTTTAAGAATTTAAACTTTATTTTGAAGATTTATTTAGTTATTATGTATACCGTGTTCTGCCTGCATGTATGCCTGCATGGCAGAAGAGGGCACCAGATCTCATTACAGATGGTTCTGAGCCACCATGTGGTTGCTGGGAATTGAACTCAGGACCTCTGGAAGAGCGGCCAGTGCTCTTAACCTCTGAGCCATCTCTTCAGCCCCCTACATATACAGTTTTAAAAATACTTACTTATATTATTGTCTGCCTGCCTCTCTCCCTCCACCTTTACATGAATTCTATGGGTTGAACTTAGGTTGACAGGTTTGCATGGCACTTTATCCACTGAGCCAGCCAGCCAGCCTCAAACACCTTTTGGGAAACACTTTGCTCCTTTGCATGGCTACAACTGCTCCACTAAGACACCCAGCTCTGTTCACCTTAGTTCTTTTGGAGAAACGCTTGACACTGACACTCCACAACTCCATCTTCCACAGAGCCAAGGGTACTTCCCCCCTTCCCTTCAGCTGAATTCTTTTTTCTGATGTCTATTCACTCTAGGCGGGGCAACCAAGAATGGGAACAATTCCACCCCACCCAAGTCTGTCTTGGTGAACCAATGAGTTTATTGGGCTTACTTACAGGAACATGGGTGACCCCCAAACAGTTACATCCCAACATGGTGACAACCTCCCCAAACCAACAGGGATGGCACGTTCCTCCTTCAGTTGGCCTTCCACACTCTGTATTCTCAGCATCCCCAAGACCATCTGTAGCTGGGGCAGAATTCTATGAAGCTTTTGGGGAGGTAGGTTAGAATCCAGATGAGCAGGTGTTGGTGGTGCACGCCTTTAATCCCAGCACTCGGGAGGGAGAGGCAGGCAGATCTCTGTGAGTTCGAGACCAGCCTGGTCTCCAAGAGCTAGTTCCAGGACAGCCTCCAAAGCCACAGAGAAACCCTGTCTCGAAAAAAACCAAAAAAAAAAAAAAAAAAAAAAAAAAAAAAAAGAAATGCTGGACATGGGGACTGGAGAGATGGCTCAGAGGTTAAGAGCACTGGCCGCTCTTCCAGAGGTCCTGAGTTCAATTCCCAGCAACCACATGGTGGCTCACAACCATCTGTAATGAGATCTGGTGCCCTCTTCTGGTGTGCAGATATACATGGAAGCAGAATGTCGTATACATAATAACTAAAATCTTTAAAAAAAATGCTGGACATGGTGGTACACACTTGTAATCCCAGTGCTGGAGAGGGAGAGACACAAGAATCCTGGGGGCTTGTTGGCCAGTCAGTTTAGCCTAATCGGTATGTTCAAATCCAAGGAGAGATGCAAAGTGGAGAGATGACATTCCTAAGGATGACACCTGAGGTTTTTCTTTGGCCTCCACATACATGTGTATATGTGCACATGTGAGCACACATGCACACGCACACACACAGGCATATATACACAGATGGTATTGACCATGATATGCCTAGAAGACCATGCCCCACAACACCCCCTCCAACACCTTTTCCACACTGCAATAGTAGCAGAGGCAGCACCAGCCATATCATCGTGTCTAATGCAATCTTTCCCAAGTCTCAACAGTTAAGAAAGACACTGGTCAAGTGAGTGTGGTAGGAAGCCAAGAACAGCCTGCGGCCAACACAGCTCATGGAATAAGGGTTCCAAATGCCTGAGATGGCAGGATGAAGCCACACCTGAGTCTGAGGGCTGCCTGCCCCATACTCCTTTCTTCCATCTGGAGGTGCTCTCTTCTAACCTAACCCTGACCCTTTCTTCCATCTGGAGATTCTATCTTCTAACCTAACCCTGACCCTTTCTTGCATCTGGAGGTTCTATCTTCTAACCTAACCCTGACCCTTTCTTGCATCTGGAGGTGCTCTCTTCTAACCTTGCACCTGGTGTGGCTCCCATCTTGATGCACCATTTACAATTTTTAAGTGCTGGAATTAATGCCAGGACCTTGCTATATTAAGCATGGGCTCTACTCCCTAGCTCCAGGTATACTGCCTTCTTAGGCCACTGAGCCTTTGCATGTCCCATTACTGTATAAAATGCTCCAATGGCTCGTTACTTCTGGACAAAGGCCACTCATTGCTGAAACCTGTGAACTGCGTCCCATTCCTCTTCCCATTCCTCTTCCTTTCCCACCTGTGACCCTAGCCTTTGTCGAGTTTGCCTTGCTCTGATGGCAGCATACCTGGGTTTTAATTCATTATTGTGGCTCTTGCCTAGCAGAGGCTTGGGTACAACTTTCAGAGGTACAGCTCCTCAATGGGCTGACAGGACAATAAGACTGACACAGAGGAAGCAACCTACCTGTCACATGGCTGATCAAGAACTGACAGCTTATGAATACCTCACTTCTGTCCATTGTACGTCCCCAATTCCCTTGTCTCTTTCTGTCGACAGAGCTCTCAAGAGTCATTCCAGATTCCTTCTTGGCTTCTGGAGCCAGTGACTTTTTCCTCAGTGGGAACCTTCTGCTGTTTGAAGTCCTTGACAGAACATCCTTTGAATACATCTCCCAGGGGCAGCAGGCTCTGGAGAAAGGTAAAACCCTCCACCATCCTCCTCCTGGTAATCGACCACAAGCCGAGCTCGGTGTCAGGAGTGACCAGTGAAGAAGCTGGCTGTCCTCTTGCAGGCTTTCCAGGCTGAAACCTCAGCCAAGAACAACATTGACATAAGCATGGCCTTTGAGCTGCTCACCCAAGAGATCCACAAACTGTGACCCATCTTGGACCAAGCCTCAGGAGGATGATGACCAAAGCGGGCACCAAAGGTAGATGTGCCTGTGCTGTGGTCCCTAGGTGGAGAGATAGCCACCCTCCCCAGAGCCCATGGACTCTTCACAATCCACAAGGACTATGCTGGGCATGGGTCAGGATGATGCTTTGGAAGAACATCCTGTGGTCTAGACAGGGGCTGCTTTCCTCTGGTAACAGAATCCCAGCAACAGGACTGTCCCCAAAGCTATTCCCATCCCTCCTCATGGCCAAGGATGAATCTGATCTTCCATGGAATTCCAGAAGAGGTCCAAAGGGGCTCTAGCAGGCCAAGTGTGATGATGCACACCTGTAATCTCAGCACACTGAGAGGTGGAGGCAGGAGGGTGATTCAAGGATAGCCTCAACAATACATCAGGTCTGAAGCCAGCCTGGGCTACATGAAAGCCTGCCTCAAAACACAAAAAGAAAAAAAAAGTCCCAGGGATACCAACATTATCTGAACTAGAATGCTTGTTTATTTCGGGGCTAGTTTACCCTGTCTGGTAGCAGAGAAACCGGACTCCAACTCCTACTGCTGGTTTGTCCCTTTGGAGTAAACCAGTGGAAAAACCCGTTTCTTAAATGCACAGATGGGCCCCTGTGCTGCCACCTGCTGACTGCAGCCCTCCAGCCTTGCTGATCCTGACTGGCATTTCAAAGGCCTCAGCTAGGCACCCTGTGTCTTCAATTTATAAGTTCTTTATTCTGGAAAAGCAAATCAAGTTCATATTCATATAAACACTGACATTACAAAGTACAGGACAAGGGAAAGGAGGAGACAAACCCTCTACAAACCTGCTAACACTGTCTCACCCAGCATGACCATACCGCTCTGCCTACAGTCAATCATTTATAAGATAAACCACAGGTAAAGTCTTCTCCGGAAGATACACTGCTTCTCTTTGAGACGGCAGGGAAAAGGGACCAGAAGTTGGGGTAGGAGGCTTTATTCTTTTGGCAGATCTTCTCAGTCATTATAGATATTGCTGCACTGTTAATAAAAAATATATGCTTCTCTGTAAAGCATTTAAAAAAAAAATCCAAGGATGAGATGGCTGAGGTCTCAGCTCAAGTATCTCCAAATACATGTCGTCCATTCCTTAACTGTCCCCTGTGTTATTTCTTGGTTGTTTTCCGGATCAATGCCATTCTCTGAAAGGGGAGAGAAATGAACAGTTAACAGGGCTCCAAGTCAGGAGCTCTCTGGAACATCAAACAGCATGGTCTCCATCACAGAAGCAGAATGCAGGGTCGAGAGACAGCCACAGTGGCCACCATCTCACAGACTGAGAGACCAGCTCTGTCCAGCCGTGCCTGCCGTATTCACATGCAGCTCCCTTTCCCCACCAGGGCAGCCATTTCACTAAGGTGTGGGAGCAGGTGGGCGTGCCCACCAAAGATCTGGAATCAAGAGCTTTAAGTGAAACCCATGGGGCAGAGAGGAAAACTGAAGCCCTGTGCATCTGCATCAGCACCATAGAAGCTATCACTGTGCTGCCTCTGACCTCTGACCTCTGGTGCAGAGAAGCTGGCTGCACAGGTGACTGACACTCCTGGAACACAGCTGCCTGTGCCCACTCCAAGGTGCAGTCCTAGGGACCAGCCCTGGCTGTCCTGGGTTTCTGACCTGTTTGTGAGCTTCTGTGGTGCAAGCTTTTTTGTAGGGTCGGATTTCCTCAGAGCCAAATCCTGGGATCCACATGTTCCACTGGCGCTCTGCAAGGAAGACACAAGCAGAGCTGAGGCTCCAGCTAGAAGGGCAGTGCAGCTGCAGGCAAGCAGCAGGGCAGGCCTGGCACCCACTGCACAGCACATGGCTTCTCCAAGGTTCTTTACTGAGCTTAATGCACACTAGGCAAGTGCTCTCCCGCCACGCTATAGCCCCCCCTCAAGACCTTTAACCCTTTTAATGTTAATTTTAAAATTTTATTTATTTACTTATTTATTTATTTGGTTTTACAAGACAGGGTTCCTCTGTGGCTTTTGGAAGCTGTCCTGGAACTAGCTCTTGTAGACCAGGCTGGCCTCGAACTCACAGAGATCCACCTGCCTCTGCCTCCCAAGTGCTGGGATTAAAGGCGTGCGCCACCAATGCCCGGCAAAATTTTATTTATTAAGGTATATTTATTTTATGTACATGAGTGTTTTGCCTGCATGTATGTGTGTGTACCATGTGCAAGCTTGTGCCCAAGGAGGCCAAAAGAGGATGCTGGATCCCCAGTAACTGTCACCATATGGGCTCTGGGAATCCAATCTGAGACCTCAGGAACATCATCCAATGCTCTTAACCACTGAGCCATCTCTCTAGCACCCTATGTTTTTATTTTCTTTAAGGCAAATTTTGATATGCACCCTAGATAAGAAGTGAACTCATAGTGATCTGCCTGTGCTAGCCTCTTAAGTGCTGGAATTATGGGTCCAAGACTGCTGCTACTGGCTATCTTACTATTTTCAGTCAGGCATGGTTACACATAATTTTAGTCCCAGCACTAGGGAGGCAGAGGCAAATGGATCTCTGTGAGCTCCAGGCCAGCCCGGGCTACAAGGTAAAAAAGAAAAAAGTACACACACTTACAAAGTCACATTCAGAAGGATTTACACAGATACTATTATTCCTTTCTGCATTTTACCCTATTTTCATATTTAATAACCTTAACATAATAAAGGTTACTTTAAATAAAAAAAATAGGTGTTAAGTACAGTTTGATAGGCATAAAAATCTGGCTCCTAACTTACTCCTAGTTGTGTACACATGGGCCACTTCATACTCCATTAATGTCCCCAAAGTACAGGCAACAGGATTTGTTCTATAAAATTCATTTTACTCTGGACAAACCAACTACTTAAAACAAACTGAAGTTGTATTACATATGTATGTACATGTGTGTATTATAAGTATCTGGGTCTGTCACTGAACCTGGGACACACTGTTTTCCAGCCAGGCTAGTTACCAGCAAGCCCCAGCCATCCTCCCAGCCATATGTCTGTCTCCCTAGGGCTGAGATTCCAGGCATGCACAACCATAACTGTTTTACATGGGTGCTAGGGACCCAAATCAGGTCATCATTCATCCATAGCAAGTGCCCTTCACAACTGAGCCATCTCCTTCGGCCCAAACAAAAATTTGTCATTATATGTTACATCTAATGCTCATAAATATTATGTGACTAACTCATGCTTAATTGTAGAATTGCTATTCTTTCAGTTTATAAACATAATCTGTAATTCTCACAGATACCTGCAAGGAAGACATTTCGATCTTCTCTTTATGAAAAGGGAGACAGACAGAAGTCAAGCAGAAAGGATAAGGTGGGCCAGGGGGCATCCCTACCACAAAGGCTTCCTCTCCTCTACTAGGTGCTGCTTCTGAATGGTAAATCCTAGGCCTGAAGGTCTGGTCCTGACCTGAGGGTTTCTCTGACATTTGCCTGACAGTCCTCACAGACAATCACAGATACTTCAGGTAGAAATGAGACCACACACCTAGATGCAGCTGGACGTCTTTAACCTCCAGGGTGCTGGACTTGCGATGCCGGGCGAGCTGGCAGGCAGCTGTCACCACACTTTCGATAAAATCATCAGCTATCTGCAGCAGCATCTGGAGAGAGGGAAGTGGGGAAAGTAACCATGTCACTGGCAGGGTAGGCTCCTGTTTTGGAAACAGCTGTGTACTTCCTGAATCACATACTGAGCCAGGCCTGGAATCAGCATCTTGCTGGTATGGATGAAGGACAAAAACATCACTCAGGTCAAGTACAGCTCATAGCTTTCTCCTTTTTTTTTTTTTTGAGTCAGGGTTTCTCTGTGTAGTTTTGGAGTCTATCCTGGAACTAGCTCTTGCAGACCAGGCTGGTCTTGAACTCACATAGATCCACTGCCTCTGCCTCCCGAGTGCTGGGATTAAAGATTTGCACCACCACTGCCTGGCTTTTATTTATTTATTTATTTTGGGTTTTTCTGTCTTTTCAGATTTTTAAATGTAATGTGTATTTGTGTTTTGCCTGCATGTATGTATGTGCATCACATACTTTGATTCCATGGGAGTCAAAAGAAGCCATTGGATGCCCTGGAACTTACGTTATGGATGGTCATGAACCACCATGTGTGTGCTGGGAACCAAATCTGGGGCCTCTGTAAGAAAGTACATGTGATGTTCTGCCTGCATGCATGCCTGCAGACCAGAAGAGGGCACCAGATCTCATTATAGATGGTTGTGAGCCAATATGTGGTTGCTGGGAATTGAACCCAAGACCTCTGGAAGGGGCAGAGCTCCTAACCACTGAACCATCTCTCCAGTCCGCAATATTTTCATGTTTTATTTGTGTTTTATCTGCATGTATGTCCGTATGAGGGTGTTAGATCCACTGGAACTGGAGTTACAGACAGTTGTGAGCTGCCATGTGGGTAGCTGGGAATTGAACCCTGGTCTTCTGGAAAAGCAGCCAGTGTTCTTAACCACTGAGTCATCTCCCCAACCCCTCAAAGTCTCCACTCTTAACTATCATGTGGTATCATCTTTGGTACCCAGGTCCACCTCACCTCCTCCACATCTTCATCCAGCTGCTCGTTAGGATCCACCTCTCTGACTAAATCTTGTAATTTCTTCTTGGTCAATACCTAAGGTGAATTGGAGAAGAGTTTTTGTAAGTATTAAGGCAGCAAACCTTATTACCCATTAAAGACAGGCTGTCAAGTTGATGAGATTAGCTCTAGCTCCCAGGCAGCCTTACCTGGTGGTACAGCTGCAAAAACATACTCAAGGGAAAGAGGCAAGAGTTTTTAAGAAGGGAAGAGGGGAGAGTAGTTTGGAGTGGAGGTCAGCATGTAACTGTTAGGCAGTTTATTCAACTTTATTTATTTATTATGAATACAGTGTTCTGCCTGCATGTATCCCTACAGTCCAGAAGAGGACACCAGACTACATTACCAATGGTTGGGCACCAACATGTGGTTGCTGGGAATTGAACTCAGTATCTCTGGAAGAATAGGCAGTGCTCTTCTGAGCCATCTCTCCAGCCCTGATTTTTTTTTTTTTGGGGGGGGGGTTGAGACAGGGTTTCTCTGTGTAGCTTTGGAGCCTATCCTGGCACTTGCTCTGGAGACCAGGCTGGCCTCGAACTCATGGAGATACACCTGCCTCTGCCTCCCGAGTGCTAGGATTAAAGGCGTGCGCCACTAACACCCGGCTTTTTTTGTTTTTTTGAGACAGGGTTTCTCTGTGTAGCTTTGGAGCCTCTTCTGGCACTTGCTCTGTAAACCAGACTGGCCTTGAACTCATGGAGATCTGCGTGACTCTGCCTCCCAAGTGCTAGGATTAAAGGCTTCTCTTTACAGTTATTTAGGGGTATGTCTATATGTGCGTGAGCACACGCATGTGCATGTGTGCGTGTGTGCAAACAATAGCACATATGTGGAAGTAAGAAGATAACTTGAGGAATTAGGATCTCTCATTCCACCATATAGATTTGGGAATGAACTCAGATTATAAAATTTGGCAGCAAGTGCCTTTACTAGTTGAGCTATCTTGCTAGCCCTGAATTTTTTTGAGGCAGGGTCCATAACTTGTTTTGTAGCAGAGGATGAGGAACTCCTGATCTTCCTTCTACTACCTCTCAAGTGCTGGGACTGAAGGTGTGAGCCATCTTGCTATTCTACAGTGACATCCATAGTCAACACACGCTGGCCTCTGCTCAGCCAACCCTTCCACAAGTGTTCAGCTAGTTCCTCTATCCACTCCTTTCAATGTCTCCTCATTCAATCTATTCAGTCTACAAGATCCAAGACAACGGATTTTACATTGCTCCTTTTTTTGTCTTTCTTTTGGTTTTTCAAGACAGGGTTTGTCTGTGCAGCCCTGGCTGTCCTGGAACACACTCTGTAGACCAGGCTGGCCTCAAACTCAAAGAGTTTGCCTCTGCCTCCCAGCTTTATACTTCTTTTCTTGTTGCTCTGGAAGGTGGAATCTGGGTCATAGGGGCAAAGTGGGTAACAGATTAAGATGAACTACTACTACTACTACTATTAAGAACAAACAACTGAACCCTCTTATTTTAGGAGTAAGGAGCCCATGTATTATATAGATCACTCAAAATATCTGCCATTGCTGAGTGTGATGACTCACTCTTTTAATCCCAACCCTTGGGAGGATGAGGCAGGAAGACTGCCCATGACTTTGATGCTGCCTGGGGCTACATCTTTGACTTTCAGTCACCCTGGGCTATACTAAAACCCTAGTTCAACAAAACAAGACCAAAACCCCCAGCCACTTGCCCTATAAAAGTTTGTTATTAAATGTGTTATATGGAAACACACAGTCATATATAACAGTAAAAACTGATATATATTGAATTGTAGACAATTCAATAAAAATGCTATTATATACCAAAGGGGAAAGACCTTTTTCTTTATTTTATCCCCCTCCCAGCAGGGTTTCTCTGTGTAGTTCTGGCTGTCCTGGAACTCACTCTGTAGACCAGGCTGGCCTTGGACTGTCTCCCAAGGGCTGGGATTAAACTTATGGGCCACCACTGCTCAGCTTGGAAAAGACTTCAACAGAGAGAATGAGCTCCTGTTATGTCCACCTCTGTGCATATTATAGGTCCAAATGAGAGAGAGGGTCTACAGAGAAGGAAAGCTAAGAGGTACCTGATTGTTTTCAGGGCTAAGACGACCGCCTGTCCCAGGAGTGCCTGGTATCTTTACTACAGTGGTGCTATTGGCCATGGAGCCTTGTGGAGGGGTGCTGGCTGGCTCTGGCTTTATAGATGAGAAATTGGAGAGGTTGATTAGGGCTGAGGGGCCAAACTGGTTCATAATCTGCCGAGCTTTGGACTTCAGCTCATAGAGTTTATCAAGATCCTGCTTCTTTTTGGAGCTGTGAGGACCAAGGCCAATCAGCTGGAGAAGGAAAATAGAGACACTGGAGTTACTCTAGAGACACCTGCAGGAGGAGATCTGTCAAGATCTGTCAGTCGTGAGTCTTCGGTGTATCCAGGAGGGTGATTACTTGATAGTGACAAAAAATAGAGTGAATGGAGAATATGCATTGCTTACACCTGGTTTTAGAGACCATCTTGTCTCCAAAATCGAACTGAAACAGTTCACAAAATTGAAATGAGGAAAAAGTAAATGAAATGAGGAATCTTGTTTTCAAAAATAAACTAGAATAAGCAAGACATTTTAAAGGAATTCATACAAGCAGAATACTGGGTTAAGTACTTACATGCATTATTTAAATATGAAATCATGTTAAATTCAAATAAATAGCACAGTCACATACTTAAAACTCAGTCACAAAGCTTAAGAAAATGATTAGTTCATTTTCAAGACATGTTGAAGCATTTCAAAACATGCTTAAATCCAAGGCCGGGCTCTGCCCAGGAAACACAACTTTTAGCAATTGTTAAAAGCTCTGCTTTACCATAAGGAACTTTTCCCCCTTTGTGTTTTAGCAATCTTGAAGTCATGCTGAGACCTTCACCTAAAGCAGCTGCAACTCCTATTAGAGCCATAGGCTGACTCTGTGAACATTGGCTGTGGTGTCAAGACCAGAAGCACATTCACCAAGTTCTGCCCACAGTGGCCTCAAGGAGTTTACTTACTGCTATCTGAGTGTCTAGATCTTTAATTACATCAGCAACAGCTGTAAGACCGGTGTAATGAGAGGCAGCCATTTTCAAAAGCTACCTGTAAACAAATAACTAGCATCAAGTACCACCCCTGCCACAGAAGTATTCCAGTTGTGTGGCAAGGTGCAACGTGACCAACCAGGATCCAGCAGAAGATGCAACTCAGTGGTAGAAAGCTTGCCTAGTATGTGTGAGGCCTTGGGCTTCATCACCCCATCAAGACAGTATTATAAAGTCAGGTGTGGCACGCTTTTAGTCCCAGCACTTGGAAGACAGAGACAAGGGGATCTCTGTGAGTTCGAGGACAGCCTGGTCTACAATGTGAGTTCCAGGATAGACAGCTGTTATACAGATAAACCCTGTCTCCAAAACAAACAAATGTTCTGCTTCTCCTGTTCTCTACCTCTCTTCATCACACAAGCAGAGGCAGATGGGCGGTGGCTGAACTCACTCTATTGACCAGGCTGTCTTGGAACTCACAGAGGTCCACCTACCTCTGCCTCCCAAGTGCTGGGATGAAAGGTGAGTGCCACACCTAACTTTATAAGGTGTGCTCCATCACTCCCAGAAACAAAAATCAGTATATTAAAAAGTTTGCCCACCAGGAATTGGTGGCGCATGCCTTTAAAGCCAGCACTCAGGAGGCAGAGGCAAGTGCATCTCTTTGAGTTCCAGGCAGGACAGGCTCCACAACAATACAAAGAAACCCTGCCTCGAAAAACAAAACAAAACCCCCCCAAAAGTTAAAACAAACAAACAAAAAAACAACAACAAAACCCAAAAAGTTTTGCCCATCTTGGTATTAACTCACTATGCTATCCATGTATTATGATGACTTTTTGTTTTTAAGATTTTATTTTTATTTATTATATATACAGTCTTCTGCCTGCATGCCAGCAGAGGGCACCAGATCTCATTCAAGGTGGTTGTGAGACATCATGTGGTTGCTGGGAATTGAACTCAGGACCTCTGGAAGAGCAGTCAGTGCTCTTAACCGCTGAGCCATCTCTCCAGCCCGATTCTTTTTTTTTTTTTTTTTTTTCTTTTTTTTTTTTTTTTTTCTAAGATTTTATTTATTATGTATACAATGTTCTGCCAGCATGTATGCTTGCAGGTTGGAAGAGGGCAGTAGATCTCATTATAGATGGTTGTGAGCCACCATGTGGTTGCTGGTAATTGAAATCAGGACCTCTGGAAGAGCAGTCAGTGCTCTTAACCCCTGAGCCATCTCTCCAGCCCCATTCTTTATTTTTATTTCTTGTTTTTGTAATTATTGTTTGTTTTTAGATAGGGTCTCACTCTGTTCCCCAGGTTGCCCTGGAAATTTACTATGGGACAACTGAACTCAAGAACAATCTTCCTGCTTTAGCCTCCCAAATGCTGGCATTATAGGCCAGAACCCTAAGACCCAGCTCATCCTTGGCTATATAGAGTTTGAAGCCAGAATGGGTTAGTGACACCGTCTCAGAAAAGACTGTAGTGGGCTGGAGAAATGGCTCAATGATTAAGAGCACATTTGCTCTTTCAAATGACCTGTGTTAAATTCCCAGCACTTACACCAAGTGATGTAACTCTGGCAGAACCCAGCACATCTGTATATAAACATATATTCAGGCAAAACAATAATACACATAAAAATAAACATCTGGGTGTGGTGGTGAATTCTTGGGCTTCATCCAAGCATCTAGGAGGCAGAGGCAGATGATCTCTGAGTTAGAGGCAGCCTGGTCTACATAGAGTTCCAGGACAACCAGGACTTGGAGATAATATCCTGTCTCAATGCCCCTTCCTAATAATGAATAAATAGATATATAAATAATAAATAAGTACAAACAAATAAATATACAAACAAGATGCTGCTGTAGAGATGGCTCAGGGGTTAAGAGTACTTACTGCTCTTCCAGAGGACCCAGTTTCAATTCCCAGCACCCACATGGCAATTAACAAGTGTTCCAGGGGAACTGCCACCCACCCACCCATAGCAAAATACCAATACCAATGCACATAAAGAATATTCATATATCTATATGCTGGGCGATAGTGGCACACACCTTTAGTCCTAGCTCTTGGGAGGCACAAGCAGGCAGATCTCTCTGAGTTCAAGGCCAGACTGGTCTTACAGAGCGAGTTCCAGGATGCCAAAGTTCCAAAGCTACACAGAGAATCCCTGTCAAAAAAAAAAAAAAAAAAAAAAAAAAACCATCACTCATTGGTGGTGCACACCTTTAATCCCAGCACTTGGGAGGCAGATGCAGGTGGATCTCTGAGTTTGAGGCCACCCTGGTCTACAGAGTGCCAGGATAGCCAGGGCTATGCAGAGAAACCCTGTCTCGAAAAACAAACAACCCCCCCCAACAAAAAAACTTTTTTCCTTTATTTATTTAGTGAGTTTATGCACATGTGATCAGAGGATAATTTTGGGAGTTGGTTCTCTCCTTCCATGGAGGACTCAGGGGTCATCAGTCTTGGTGGCAATCAATCATCTTTACCAGAAGAACCATCTCACCTGACTTTTTCTTTTCTTTTTTTTTTTTTTTTCAGAAATAGGCTCATGTTGACTTGAACTTCTGAAATTCCTGCCTCCCTCTTCCAAATAATGGGATTTCAGGCAAGCACCATGACACCTAGTGTCCACAACATCCAGTGCATGTTAGCAGTTAACTGGAAAGTTAATCTGATTACAGATATCTTACTCTATTGTAAGGAAAGAGCCTAAGAGTCTATAAATGTTCCTTTTTCCTTTTTACCTTGAATGCCTATGCTTCTGTAAAAATGCAGGAATCAGATCTCAAATACTACACTACAGAAGTAGTGAAGTCTTTGACATTAAAGGGAGTTAAGAAGGAGATGAGGAGGCTGGGTGTGACGGGTGGTGCAGCCTTTAATTCCCATCACTCCAGAGGCAAAAGCAGGTGGACCTAGAGTTTGAGGCCAATCTGGTCTACCTAGCAATTTCCAGGGTGGGGGGAGCTAAATGGTTGGGAAAGGAGGAGCAGGGCAAAGGAGGAGAGGGATGTTATCTATTCAATGGCAGGCTTTGTATGACCTTTCTTTCTATTTTGTTGACAAGCAACATAGACAAGGAGGGGAATATTTTTTTTTTTCTTTTGGTTTTTCGAGACAGGGTTTCCCTGTGGCTTTGGAGGCTGTCGTGGAACTAGCTCTTGTAGACCAGGCTGGTTTCGAAGTCACAGAGATTCTCCTGCCTCTGTCTCCCGAGTGCTGGGATTAAAGGCATGCACCACCTCCGCCCGTCGACAAGGACAGGAATTCACTTAGAAAAGTTCAAAAAAGTTTTAGGGTCACATCTGGGGCTAAAGCACTCAGTATTATGACATTTAAGACAACTTTCTTCCTTCCTTCCTTCCTAGACAGGGATTCTCTGTGTAGCTTTGGAGCCTGTCCTGGAACTCACTCTGTAGACCAGGCCGGCCTCGAACTCAGAGATCCGACTGCCTCTGCCTCCCTAGTGCTGGGATTAAAGGCATGCGCCACCAACGCCCGGCTCATGCAACAAAGTTCTTAATCTCTTTGAACATACTTAAACTTACAATACTTAACTGTGAAGCTGTGATAATGAAGTGATGGAATACTTGAAAGTGCTTAAATTGCTATCTGTGGTGGCACACACCTTTAATCCCAGTACTTGGGAGGCAGAGGCAGGCAGATCTCTGAATTCGAGGCCACCCTGGTCTACAGATCGAGTGCCAGGACAGCCAGAGCTCCACAGAGAAACCCTGTCTCAAAAACTAAACAAAAAGTGCTCAGTTTGCCGGACTGACGGTGGTGGCGCACACCTTTAATCCAGCACTCGGGAGGCAGAGGCAGGAGAATCTTTGTGAGTTTGAGACCAGCCTGGTCTACAAGAGGTAGTTCTAGGATAGGCTTCAAAGCCACAGAGAAACCCTGTCTCACCGCCCCCTCCCCCAAAAAGAAAGTGCTCAAGTTGTGCTTGATTCACCTGAGGTTTCAGTCATGAATATTACGAAGGGAAATGGCTGGTCCAAGTCACACTTCTAAAAGCAATCCCTAGCAAATGTTCCTGCTAAAAATATAGGCCACGTTTACTTGTGACTTTCTCAACAGCTTATTGAAAAATAAAATGGATTTCACTTAAAGGTTTGCTTCCTCACTTGTGACATTTACTGTATCCATGTCAATGTTATAATAGTAACCCAAGTATTAAAATCTGTACAAATGCCCCTTCTGAGTCTGAGGGTATTTGCTGCACATGGAAGAGTACTGAATAACCTGAGAATTGGCTCACCGAGACCCTAACCCTTCTTTGGACCCTCCTTTCCTTAAATGTAAAAGTATTCAAAGTGATCTTTTGATGCCCTTCCATCTGTGACAGTTTGTGGGTTCAGAGATCTGTACTCAAAAGGGCTGAATGAAATGGGGCTTAAAGCACTTATCAAGCATATAACGGGTCAAACTGCTTCCAACTTCATATCCGATTCACAATAATGAAGAAGAAAAACGAAGATGTCTCATGAGGGTTTTCTAGATTTGAGTATCTGACAGAGAAAAGTCTAACTGCAAAAAGCCAGATAGGCAGCGACAAGAAGTCTTTCCCCGAATATATCTTTCATCCCTTTGGGTACAGAGAACAGATTGCTCAATCTTTTCAAACCTCTTTCCCTTAGAGGCTGATCTACCAGCCACGATCCCTTAGATCCTCCACTTTTAAGAGCTCGGTCCTCACAGCCCTGTCCCTTCAGGAACACTTGAGTCTGAAGAAAGCCCCGATTCCGTCCCAAAAGAAGACCCAGTCCTCACTGCCCGTTTCTATTCCCTCCCAAATTCAAGTCTTCTCTGCTCGCTTCTGTCTCTCCGCTCCCTAAGTCTTTGCTGCCCGGTTTCTGAATCCTCGGGAGCGGGGACTTGGCTGTCCCGCTTCTGTCTCTTAGGAGCCCGAGTCCTCTCGCCGCTCCACTTTTACCTCTCTGGAGCCCGTGTCTTCACGCCCCGTTTCGTTCCTACCCTCGCCTCCTAAAAAGTACCGGTCCTCACCATCCAGTCCCTCTCAGACGGCTTTCCCTCAGATGCTGCAGAACTCACACACGTCCTCGTCCCCTAAGTCTCTCTCGTTCGGAGCCCGAGTCCCCAACAGCCGCTGCTCCTGCGAGCCCGAACCCTTCAAGTCGCGTCCCAAGAGCCTGGCTCCTCACAGCCCCGTCTCTCCTCCACAACCTAGTTCCTCAGCACTGCCCCTCTGTGGGTCTGGGTCCTGACGCCCTCCTCCCGCTCTTCGTCCTCCACTGCCAGGGCCCAAGACTCACAGGCAGCAGCGTCTATCTCCCCATGATATGCGGAGACTGCCCCAGTGAAGCTTTCGTCTCAGCAGCCGGTCCGACTGCGCGGCCCTCCCCAAGCACTTCCGGCACCGCTCCCCGCCTCCAACCCGGAAACGCGCGGCTCTTCCGGCCGCCGGGCGCGCGCCCGCCTCGCGCAGGCGCAGACTTCGCTCCGACACGTGGTTGAGCGGTGAGGCTGGCCGTGGGCTTCGCTCGCCGCTCGTGCTCTCCGCTGCGTGCGGCTGGCGTGGGCGAGCGCTGCGTCTCCCACCTCGGCGTGGGCCCCTGCCCTAGGTGTTTGTTACCGGATCGTGTCTCTGAGTGCTGCGACCGGTAACCGACGGCCTCGGGTGGCCCCCGAGTCGCCATTTTTGGTCGGTGCCTTTGTGTGGCTCTGAGGATGGGACAGCGATTCCCCACAGGGGAGCTGGCGGCGCGAGAACTAACTCGGGGACCAGAGAGGCTGCTTGGGCCCGTTAAATGGTAGTTTAAAATAGCTGAGCGAGAGCTCTCTGGGAGGAACTGCTTAAGCCCCCACTGGCAGTACGGCGTGTAACCGCGGAGGACACCTGTGCGAAGTTTACCAAGATTCCACCCAAGAGACGCAGGGAGAATTCACTCCAAAGCCTGGGTTGGTCCTGTAACCGTTAAGCTCTGAGCTTTGAGGTTCTTTTTAATCCACTAGATGCTTTGGGTTAAAAAGAACCCTATTCCAAATATACGAGGTATGTAAGCAACACGCACGCGGTTTCAGCATCTGACAGGGTTCCCAATAAAATGGAGACCCCACACACACGTGTATAGAAGACATCTCAGCTATGAAGGTCCACAGGAATTGCGAAGAGCTTCACCGATCCGTCCCCAGTCTTTTATCTTAACATCCTCGTACTATCGGTCTCATCCAAAGCACTGAATGCTTTTTCTTTCTATATATATATATATATATATATATATATATATATATATATATATACCTAGTGCATGCCTGGTACACAAAGGAATCAGAAGAGATTATCTGAAGCCTTGGAACTGAAGTTACAGATGATTGTGAGCCACCAAGTGACTGCTGAGATTAGAATCCAGGTCCTCTGCAAGAGCTAACAAGTACTTTAAACAGCTAAGCCATCTCTCCAGACCCTGTTTTTCTGTTGTTTGTTTTGCTTGTTTTGTTTTGTTTTTTCAAGACAGGGTTTCTCTGGCTTTGGAGGCTGCCCTGGAAGTAGTTCTTGTAGACCAGGCTGTCCTCGAATTTACAGAGACCAGAGTGCTGGGATTAAAGGTGTGCACCACCACAGCCCAACCCTAACCTTATTTCTGCATTCTTTGAATTTCTGCATTTACTAAACCTTTTTTTTTTGCTGTGTGCTGGGTACATACTGGTTGGGTAAGCCAGGCGCCCTTGTCCTTACCAGTTCATAGGAAATGCACAAAAGGCAAGAATATCAATAAATTAAGTGATAAATCAATAATGTGAGTGACACAGGGTCCTAATTTACGGACCAAGAGATCCAGAGGGGTGAGGTTTGGTAGGTGGCAGGGAGAGACAGGTTGAAGAGGTAAGATGATTCATTCATTTTAGGCCACACCTTGTACAATATGTTAGTGATTTGGGATTTTATTTTATTATTTTATTCAGTGTGCAGTGGAAAGGCACGAAAACAGAGGAGATGGTAATTTGTATTTCTGTGTGTTAGCTCATGACTTTGATCCCAGCCCTCGGGAAGCAGAGGCAGGTGAATCTTTCTGACTCTGAAGCCAGCCTGGTCTACTTATGGTGTACCAGGCCAGCCAGAGCTACACAGTAAGAGAAGGTGTCAAATAAAAGGTGTGGGGACAAATGAACACTGTTGGATTATAGAAGGATCCCTTGATAGACACTTGACAGCACCCACCTGCCTTTCCCCCAGTCTCAACTGCCTCTTGCTTTTGCAGTGTAAAAGCTGTCGTTTACCTCCTTTTGTAGATTCCACTTCATAGAGGGCAGGAAACTCTACATTCTTAAAATATATTAAAATATGCTGTCAAAGTCTATTTTTTGTTTCAAAAATATGCACATGCCATTATGCCTGGCTTCTATACACATTAATGCAGAAACCGTAGGGGCAGAGCGTCAGCTCGCTAGGTGGGTTAAGTATTTGATGTACAAACATAGGAACCTGCATTGTATCCTCAGAAAAAGCTGGGCCCCACTGGTACCTATACACTCTCAGGAGGTGAAAACAGGAGGATTTCTGGAGCTTGTTGGCCAATCTACATGAATTGAGAAACCCTGTGCCAAAAAAAAATGATTGAAAAATACTAGACATTGACCTCTGCCCTACACAATCAGTAAACCAAGGATTACTGAGATTCTAGTAATCCTATCTGGATCCTAGACTCAGTGTTAGGGGTCAGGATAGCTGTGCTGAATAGTGAGAGCCTTTTTTTTTTTTTTTTCTCCTGTCTTCCTTAAAAATCACTCTGGAAGCTGAAGCAGCAGCCACTCAAGTTCAGTCCTGGGCTACATGAGGAAACATAATGTCTACCCTTCTTCCCAGAGTCCCAACAGCAAACCAGACTGAGGCATGATTCCACCTAAGTTCATGATAGGCAGTTTATTGGGCTTATTTACAGAGTAGGTGAGGGGTTAGCAACAGGAGTGTGTGTACTTTCTTCCCCAAAATCTTTACTTATCAGGGATAATGGCTCTCATAGTGCGGAGATGAGCCCCTCCCCTAGTGTTCCTTGGCCTGTACACTGTAACCTTTGCTGGAGATCACATGCAATGCTTCTTTCTGGAGCAGCTGGATCCTCGGGGGTTTGTGACAACCCTACTCCACACGAACTGCTATGATCTTTTGCAAGTGAGCTCAGCTGAACACTCCAAGATGGTGAATCCTGGACTTTGGGGCTAGTCATGAACAAAACCCTGTCTCAGAAATAAGTCAATTAAAATCCATCAGTCGCCGGGCAGTGGTGGTGCACACCTTTAATCCCAGCTCTCGGGAAGCAGAGACCCCTGTCTCTGTGAGTTCGAAACCAGCCTGGTCTACAAGAGTTCCAGGACAGCCTCCAAAGCCACAGAGAGAAACCCTGTACAAACAAACAAACACAAAAAATCCATCAGTTGCTTTTTGGGTGCTTTTTGTCTTTTGATATAGGCTCCCCAGGCTTACCTGAAACTGCTGCAGCCTCCCATGTGGGATTACATGCACCACTATACAGTGGTTTGTTTCTGGTTGAGATAGGGTGTCATGTAACCCAGGCTGGCTTGGAACTCAACATCTACCTATCCCACCTTAACTAGATTTCCCTGTGATAGTGATGGTGCACGCCTATAATTCTAGCACTCGAGGCAGAGACAGGAGGATCTGAGTTCGAAATCAGCCTGGTCTACAAAGCTAGTTCCATGACAGCTAGGGCTACACAGAGAAACCCTGTCCTGAAAACCAGGGAGTGGGGTTTTACATTCATATGTTTTCATCGGAGTACATTATAAAGTGTCCTGAAATATTTGCGCAGGGTTCTGATTGGCATTGCTTATCCCTCCCCATCACCTAGAATCTAGGTCCTAGATATTCCAGTTGCTCCGTTTTTGCCTTTACAGTCACTGGCTCCGTCTGTGCGTCTATGTCACACTGGAACAGGATGGACGCTGCAAGTGGCACTATACAGCATATTTTCAGTTTTGATAGGTTGGGGCTCGGTGCTGCCCGGTAAGTTACCCCCAGTCTAGAGCTAGACTTCCCTGGGCGGACGTTCCCACCACAGGCTGGGAGCCCGCAGCAGCGCCTGCCAGAGCCTTCCCGACAAGCACTGCTGTGATTTGCATATTGACTCACGGCCTCCCCTTTACTTCTATTCAAAAATCGAAACCCAACAATTCTCTTTGAGAAAGCTTCCCTCGGCCTCAGAGGAGTCCAGAGTTTCCCCCGCTAGCTTCGGCAATGTAGAGTTAAAAGTTAGGTGGACTCATTTTCACCTTTACCTAAAGATGGGTAGACCGACATTGCCACCCTGCTTCTGAGCGAGCTTAGGCAAAAAGGGCTTCTGTCGTGAGTGGCACACGTAGGGCAACCAGATTGCTCTACGTGCGGAATCGACATCAAGAGATTTCGGAAGCATAATTTTTTGATACCTGGGCAGCTGGTGATCGTTGGTCCCGGCGCCTGAGTTTTATGTGTAAGATAAGGATTGATTATCTACTGCTTTGTCTATGAGGTGTCTTTGTGTCTACGTGTTTATTCTTCGTACTACTTAAACATTTGGGAAACTAACCAAGGAGAGAGGAAACTGTAGGGGGTTTTCTCGATTGTTAAGTACCATTGTAGGTTGTCCGTGACTATTACCCCGTTTGGGAAAGCCCAAAAGGAGTTTGTCAGGTAATTCGAATGTGGGAGTCAAAGTTGTGTTAACTGGGCAAACAAAAAGACCCAGAGACAGATATTGGGGTTCAAGCTGGAAACCAGAAATGGAAAGCACGTGGTCTTTAACTCAGACCACCGTGGTGCGAGCCTCACACTCACTGCTCTGACTTCATTGGTCCTCAGGTTCTATCAGACTGCTATGCTCTCCTCAAGGTGGCTTGGACCCTGTTCCTGTTTTATGTAACTCTAATGAGGCAGGTGATCTTTGTGTAAACTGTTTCTTTTCAAAACTGCACCAGCCAGGCGTTGCACGCCTTTAATCCCAGCAGAGGCAGGTGGGTCTCTGTGAGTTCGAGGCCGGCCTGGTCTCCAGAGTGAGTGGCAGGATAGGCTCCGAAGCTACACAGAGAAACCCTGTCTCAAATAAAACAAAACAAAACATTTCCTTGTGTTCTGTCATATTGGTGCTGGGAATTGAACTCTTCTGGAAGAGCAGACAAGTGCTCTTCACCTCTGAGCTGTCTCTTCAGCCCTCATTAGCGATTTTTTTTGTTCCCTTTTAAATTGTTTTTGGTTTATATGTGTGAGTGCTTTGTCTACATGCATACCTGGTAAAGAGTATATTGGATTTCCTGAGATTTAGAATTGAAGAGAAGTATGAGTTACCATGTAGGTGCTGGGAATTGAACCTTGGTCCTCTGGAAGAGCAGCCAGTGCTCTTAACCACTGAGCCATCTCTCCAGCCAGCCCTCCAACCCTAACTGATCATTTATTTATTTATTTATTTATTTATTTATTTATTTATTTATTTATTTATTTATTTATTTATTTATTTATTTATTTATTTATTTATTTATTTATTTATTTATTTATTTATTTATTTATTTATTTATTTATTTATTTATTTATTTATTTATTTATTTATTTATTTATTTATTTATTTATTTATTTGTGTTTCTAGACAGGGTTTCTCTGTGTAGCTTTGGAGCCTATCCTGGCACTCTTTTTTTTTTTTTTTTTTTTTTTTTTTTTTTTTTTTTTTTTTTGTTCCAGACAGGGTTTTCCCTGTAGTTTTGGAGCCTATCCTGGAACTCACTCTGTCGACCAAGCCTGCCTCTGCCTCTCGAGTGCTGGGATTATAGGTTATAGATATGCACCACTACCCCCTGATCTGATTTTTTTTTATTAGTTCAAATTAGGAACAAGCTTGCTTCAGATGTCAATCCCTTCTCCCTCTCCTTCTCCCTCTCCCTCCCCTCCCCTCCCCTCCAACATCCCACCTGCCTCTAGCCATCCCCCCTTGTTTTTTTCTTTTTAAGATTTTATTATGTACACAGTCTTCTGCCTGCTGGCCAGCAGAGGGCACCAGATCTCATTCAAGGAGGTTGTGAGCCACCATGTGGTTGCCGAGAATTGAACTCAGGGCATCTGGGAGAAAATCAGAGCTCTTAACCGCTGAGCCATCTCTCCAGCCCCCCCCCCCAACTGATTTTTAAATTTTATTTATATTGTATGTATATGTGTGCTCTGCATGTATGCCTGCATGGCAGAAGAGGGCATCAGATTCTATTATAGATGGTTGTGAGTCAGAATGTGGTTGCTGGGAATTGAACTCAGGACCTCTGGAAGAGCACACAGTGCTCCTAACCTCTGAGACTTCTCTCCAGCCTCCTGAGTTTTAAGAGAAGTGGGTGTGGCTCTACGGGTTAGAAAATGGAGGTTACACTGTATTATGCAGGCAAACAGAATACTCCACTTTGAAATGCATTCCTGTGAAAGTAAGGGAATCATATAAAACTGTAAAATTTCAGCTCTTACTCTCTCTTATTTTTTTGTTGTTCATTTTTAAGTTAATTTTTTACATTCCAATCCCAGTTCCTCCTCCCTCCTTTTCTCCCAAGCCCTCTCCTCCTCCTCTCCTCCCATCTGCTCCATGGAGAGGGTAAGGTGTCCCCTAGGAAGTCTAAGTCTGTCCCATTATCTCGTTGAGGCAGGACCAAGGCGTCTCTCCACCCTCACATCCTGTGTCTAGGCTTGGCAAGGTATCTCTCCATATAGAATGGGCTCCACTAAGTCAGTCCGTGCATCAGTGTTAGACCACTACCAATGGTCTCATATGTTGTCCCAGTCACACCATTGTCACTTACATTAAGGGAGTCTAGTACGGTCTAATGCAGGTTCCCCATTTGTCAGACCTGAGTCAGTGATCTCTCACTAGCTTGGGCCAGCTGATTCTGGGGGTTTCTCCATCTCCGCATCATGGTCTTTTTTTTTTTTTTTTTTTTTAATTTGTGGCTTTGGAGGCTGCCCTGGACCTAGCTCTTATAGACCAGGCTGATCTGGAACTCTCAGAAATCTGCCTGCCTCTGTCTCCTGAGTGCTGGGACTAAAGGCTTTTGCTACCACGGCCCGGCTTCCCATCATGGTCTTGACTGGCAGAACTTTTAAGAGTTCAAGGTCAGCCCAATCTACAGAAAGTGTTCCAGGACATCCAAGGTTACCAAGAGAAAAACCCTGTCTCAAAAACCAAAAATCTTTGAAATAACTTGTGTGTGTGTGTGTGTAAAGGAGTATGGGAGTATTTTTGTTTTCTTTTGTTTTTTGGAACAGGGTCTCACTTATGTAGTTCTGACTGTCTTGGAACTCACTATGTAGACCAGGCTAGCCCTGAACTCAGAGATCTGCCTGCCTCTGCTTCCCAAGTGCTGAGATTAAACTGTACTACTATGCCCAGCTTCTACTAGCTCTAGAAAAGGATATGGGGGGCTAGCTCAACAATTAAGAATACTTGTTTAAGACAGGCGTTGGTGGCGCACACCTTTAATCCCAGCACTCGGGAGGCAGAGGCAGGCGATCTCTGTGAGTTTGAAGCCAGCCTGGTCTACAGAGTGAGTGCCAGGATAGGCTCCAAAACTACACAGAGAAACCCTGTCTCGAAAAACAAAAAACAAAAAAAAAAACAACAAAAAAAAACATACACTCCATGTGTTGTGCTACATATATTTAATCCTGGCACTGAAGAGGCAGAGACAGGCAAAATCTCTGAGTACCAGAACCAGGTCAGCCAGGGCTGTATAGTGAGACCCTGTCTCTAGGTAGGAATGAAGGAAGAAAAAAGAAAAGAGGGCTGGAGAGATGGCCCAGAGGTTAAGAGCACTGAGTGTTCTTCCAGAGGTCCTGAGTTCAATTTCCAGCAATCACATGGTGGCTCACAACCATCCATTATGAGATCTGGTGCCCTCTTCTGGTGTGCAGATATACACGGAAGCAGAATGTTGTATACATAATAAATAAATAAAATCTTAAAAAGAAAAGAAAGGAGAAAAGAGAGCAGGGCGTTGGTGGCACACGCCTTTAATCCCAGCACTCCGGAGGCAGAGGCAGGTGGATCTCTGTGAGTTCGAGACCAGTCTGGTCTACAAGAGCTAGTTCCAGGACAGACTCCAAAGCCACAGAGAAACCTGTCTTGAAAAGCCAAAAAAAAAAAAAGTAATAATAATTAATTTAGAGAGAGAGAGAGAGAGAGAGAGGAGGGACTGGAGAGTTGGCTAGGAGGTTAAGATCACTGACTACTCTCCCAGAGGACCCAAGTTCAATTCTTAGTACCCACATGGCACCTCACAATTATCTGTGATTCCAGGATCTGATATCCTCACGCAGGCATATATGTAGGCAAAACACCAATCCATATAAAATAAAAATAAATTATTAAAAATAGAAAAACAGTAATGCTTATGAAGAAGATGAAGAAGAAGAAGAAGAAGGAGAAGGAGAAGGAGAAGGAGAAGGAGAAGAAGAAGAAAGAACAAAAGGGAGGAAAAAAAATTGGAGTCCCTGTGGGCTTTGATGTCCCTGCACAGAGCTGGAAGGTGGTCCCTGGCTCAAGGAGCTTATACTCTGGTGAACAAAGATACATGTGTAACGCCTCTCTGGAAGAAGCCGTGGTCTTAGCTAAGGTCCCATGGGTAGCTGAGGCACCACTGCCTAGGCACTAAGCACTGTCAGTGGGTGGTAGGTGGTAAATGCCAGTGGAATATTAATAGAAATGCCATCTGGAATTCCTGTTTTGTTGGGGATTGGTTTTATTGTTTGTTTTGTTTTTTTGAGACAAAGGCTCACTATGTAAACAGACTGGCTTAGAACTCACAGAGATTTGCTGGGATTAAAGATTTGTGCTAACACACCAGTTCCAATTGGCATGCCTTGAGTGCTTACTACATACTAGACATGTTCTAAGATCTTTTGCATGTGTGCAGTGATTCATTTTCTCTTCACAACCTCTGCTCCAATACATATACTTGTGTCTGAGGTGCTTTTTCCATCCCCTCACAGACCCGTAATTTTTTTTTTTTTTTTTTTTTTTTTTTTTTTTAGGCAGGGTCTCTCTACTGTCCTGGAACTTACTATATAGACCAGGCTGGTCTCAAAGTCACAGGCATCCTCCTGCTTCTGCCCCCTGGGTGCAGTCACTCTGACATCCATCTCATTTCCATGTAAGGATACTGAGGTTGAAGCAGGCTCCCAAGCACAGCGTCAATAGACCTTGACTCTGACTCCTCAGCCAGAAGCCAGCCTTTTCCTTTGGTCCTGATACTGGAGTGAGAAGGGGCAGGGGTGGGGCCGGGGGGGGGGGGGGCTGGG